TGCGGGTGGCCACGTGGAATGTGCGAACGGTCACCGCGGAGGGAGGAGAGGCTGCCGTTCCTCTGTCGGGAGCTGGACTGGTACCGCCTAGACGTCATCCCGTAAGTGTGCTTACGGAATGATGAAGGTTTTCTCGGGTGAGATCGCTTAAGTATACTTAAGTATACTTAAGCGATCTAACCCCCAAAAAAAACCTTTATTATGAATTCAATCATTAAATAAGCGATAGGCTTTTTAAAGACTTTGGAATGTACGGACGCCATTTTTGGTTTTAGCACGTCACGGCCGACACACTCCACCCACACCACCCACACCACCCACACCACCCACCCACACCACCCACACCACCCACACCACCCCACCCACACCACCCACACCACCCCACCCACCCACACCACCCACACCACCCACACCACCCACCCCACCCACTCCACCCACCCCACCCACCCACACCACCCACACCACCCACTCACACCACCCACACCACCCACCCACACCACCCACCCACACCACCCACACCACCCACCCACACCACCCACCCCACCCACCCACACCACCCACCCACACCACTCCACCCACACCACCCACACCACCCACCCACCCCACCCACACCACCCACCCCACCCACCCAGACCACCCACACCACCGACCCACACCACCCACACCACCCACCCACTCCACCCACACCACCCACCCCTGGTTTAACTTCTGCAACAAGTAACCCCCTCAGTAGCCGGCCAATAACCCTTGTCCCGCCGATCTCTGCATCGTAGCTATTCAGTTTACTCCACTCCATGTTAAACCCCCCACCCCTTCCATTGCTGCACGTGTGCTCTGCACTGAGCACGTGCTCTGAGCACGTGCTCTGCACTGAGCACGTGCTCTGCACTGAGCACGTGCTCTGCACTGAGCACGTGCTCTGCACTGGACGGGTGCGAGGAGCTGGTAACCCCTCCACCTTCAATTAATTACCACTAAACCACGAGTTAAACTGAAATATGTAACTAATAAGCTTGTGCCGGAGGCCCCGGGGGGACAGGCGTCTATGACGACTCCTGGCCAAACCCCAATTGGCGGAGCCAGGAGATTGAATCTCTACCCTCGGGGCTCCTCCAGAAACAATGAAAAGCCACTACGGATGGCCATGTGGAATGTTCGAACGCTCACTGCGGAGGAGAGGCTGCCACTCCTGTATCGGGAGCTGGACCGGTACCGCCTGGATCTCTGTGGCGTTCAGGAGGTCCGGTGGACCGGTTCTGGCTCCTGCCACTATGAGGGGTGGACAGTCCTCTACTCGGGGCAGCAGACTGCCAAACAACAGGGTGTGGCTCTTCTTTTGAACAAAAGAATGAAGGGGGCGTGGGAGCGGGGCTGTGAGGTGTGGGAAGCTGTAAACCCCAGGCTACTTTGGGCTCGCCTTCCCATCAACCGGAGGCGAGGAGTGGTGGTCGTGGTTACTTATGCCCCCACCGAAGACGAACATCCGTGGAGGGATGCAGGCAAAGCCGATGAGTCAGATGCCTTCTATGACCTCCTGTCACAGATGCTGGCTAAAGTGGCCCCTCGGGATAGAGTCATCATGTTGGGTGACTTCAATGCCCGAGTTGGTCATGATGCTGGCACCTGGTCTGGAGTGATTGGAGGGCATGGGCCAGATCAGCTCAATAACAACGGTAGGAGGCTGCTAGATTTTTGTGCAGCCCATGGGCTTGTAATTACCGACACGCTGTTCCGGCATCGGCGCATCCACACAACATCATGGATGCATGCCGGGTCCAAGCAAGAACATCTGTTGGACTACATAGTGACGGACCAGCGGATGCGAGCCCATGTCCTTGACACCAGGACCTACCGTGGAGCTGATCTGCCCTCTGACCATCGACTAGTCATCTGTAAGATGCGCCTGCCATTCTTCCACTCCGGTGGTGGGTGTACACCCAGGACCCCATTCCAACCTAAAGTGGCCTGGTCTGAGTTATCTGATGAAAGTTGCAAGCGAGAATGTCATCATCGCTTGCGGCTGGGGTTGGCATCGTCCCCCACTCCTCCTGATGTCGAGGGTAAATGGGTGAGGTTTAGGACTGTTACTCATGCAGCTGCAATGGCTGCTTTGGGTACGCGGTCCAGACCTCCCCAGAGACCCTGGCTGACAGAGGAGGTGTTCAGGATGGTTGAGAAAAAGCGACAGGCCCACTGTCATCGGCTACAGAATCCCACGTCAGAGAATGAGGAGGCTTGCCGCAGCCTTCGCTCGGAGGTTCGGAGAGCCGTGAGGCGCTGCAAGGATGGGTGGTGGTCGCGGGTTGCTGAGGAGATGGAGTCTGCCTCAGTGGCCCGCGATCACAAATCTCTATTTAACTCCATCAAAAAAGTAACCTGCAGCGCCACACCTATTACCATCATTAGGGGAAAAAACGGTGATCCAATCTCCGACCCCCAGGAACAGGTTCGCAGATTTGCTGAGCATTTCTGTGAGGTCCTGGGGGAGGGGAAATCCCTCAGCCAGGAAAACATCGTGGCACAAAGTGGGGATGACCCTGCTGAGGCTGCGTTGCCTCAAATATTGGAAGAAGTCACCCCCTGTGAGTGGCTGGCTGAGGTGCCATCTGTTGAGGAAGTACTGAAGGCGATCCGGAGTCTGAGACCAGGAAAGGCAGTGGGCAGAGATGATCTCCCAAGCGAAATGCTGAGGGAGGGTGGCGTTTGTGCACAGACTGCCCTATATGACATCATAACAACAGTCTGGACCACTGGACAGGTTCCGCAGGATTGGAAGGATGCCCTGGTGGTCCCCCTCTTTAAGAAGGGGGACCGCACAGACTGTAACAACTACAGGGGCATCTCACTCCTCAGTGTGCCGGGAAAAAGTCCTGGCAAGGATTATTCAACATCGCCTTGCCAGGCACACTGAGGAGAGGCTTGCGGAGCCCTAAAGTGGTTTTAAGAAAGGGCGGTCCTGCACGTATGCCATATTTTCTGTCCGTCTGCTACAGCAGAGGTGTAGGGATTTCCAGCAAGACCTACATCTCTGCTTTATTGACCTGGTCAAGGCCTATGATACCATCAGTAGGCCTGGGCTCTGGGTTGTTCTTCGTGCTTTTGGAGTACCTGACCCTCTGCTCACGATCATTAAGGACCTTCATGATGGTGAGCGGGCCCGGGTAAAACTACGTGGCCGGGAGTCAGAGCCATTCTCTGTACACCTTGGGGTGCGACAGGGATGTCCTCTGGCTCCCACATTATTTAACATCTATTTTGACCACGTAGTTTGTGAAGCCTTCAATAGCTGTACCGGGGGAATTTCCATATGGTACAGATATAATGGGAGGCTGATCGATGCCCGGGTGCGATCAAGGGATGGCTCCCTATTGCTCAACCACGTTATGTATGCCAATGATTTGGTAATAGCTGCTTATTCATAGGAGGAGTTGGAGACGCTGCTGTTGAGACTGGAGCGTGCTACTAAGAGATGGGGCCTTACCATCAGCCCCACCAAAACTAAGCACCTGCCTGGGTATTTTGTACCATCGGACACTCCACCCCCACAACTCCCAATCGGTGATGGGGCAGTTGTGGAGAGAGTGGAGAGTTTCCCATACCTGGACAGTGTGCTTATGACCGGCTCCAGTTTAACAGCAGAGGTTTCACTCCGAATAAGTCGAGCGGCAATATATTTTCATCGGTTGCGTAATGCTGTGTGGAAGCTACCTGGTCTGTCGCTCCGCACTAAGCTTCAGGTCTCGTCGGCCACGGTCATCCCCTCCCTTCTCTACGCTTGCGAAATGTGGACCCCCCTAATGGAACATCTTCGCCGGTTAGACACATTTAGGCTGGCCTGCCTACGATCCATCCTGGGGTTAACCAGGCTGGATTGTGTGAGGAGCTCACAAATGCTTGAAAGATCTGGGCACGGTCCCATCAGTGAGCTCCTCCGGCAGGCAAGGCTGCGTTGGCTGGGTCATGTAGCCCGCATGCCCAGCCACCGCATGCCGAAACAGCTTTTGTTCGGCCGGATCGAAGGGGCTAAATGGGCGCGGCACAGGACGTGGAGCTGAGTGGACTTATGACTGGTACCAGCGGTGTCAAGATCGGCCTTTGTGGAGGAGGCTCGTGAAGGACGCTACTGGGCAGTTGGAGGTAGTCGCCCTCCAACAACAACGGAGGGCGGAGGAGCGACGCTCACAACAACGAGTGGAGCGCCGGGTGGCTAAAGCACAGCAGGTTGGCACAGTAGGGGGCACAGGTGGTGCATCAGCCAGTTGTCTCAGTCATCTCAGTCAGTCGACCCGTGGCACCTGGGTCTGCCCCATGACCTCCTGCCAGCGGGCGTTCGACACTCCACGTGGCCTCAAGGTGCACATGGCCTGGCACAAGCGTCGTGGTGACGTCACCGCCACTTAGTGGCGAATGGCGGTTGTTGTACTGTGTGTGTATGTACTGTGTGTGTATGTACTCTGTGTGTATGTACTGTGTGTATGTTCTGTGTGTATGTACTGTGTGTGTATGTGTGTATGTACTGTGTGTACACTGTGTATGTACTGTGTGTATGTGTGTATGTACTGTGTGTATGTACTGTGTATGTACTGTGTATGTACTGTGTGTGTATGTGTGTATGTACTGTGTGTGTATGTACTGTGTGTGTGTACTGTGTGTGTATGTACTGTGTATGTACTGTGTGTATGTACTGTGTGTGTACTGTGTGTGTATGTGTGTACTGTGTGTACTGTGTGTGTACTGTGTGTATGTACTGTGTGTGTACTGTGTGTACTGTGTGTGTACTGTGTCTACTGTGTGTATGTACTGTGTGTGTTCTGTGTGTACTGTGTGTGTACTGTGTGTGTACTGTGTATATACTGTGTATGTACTGTGTGTATGTACTGTGTGTATGTACTGTGTGTGTACTGTGTGTGTACTGTGTGTATGTGTGTGTATATACTGTGCGTGTACTGTGTATATACTGTGTGTGTACTGTGTGTGTACTGTGTGTACTGTGTGAGCAGGCGAGGCCCAAGGGCGAGGGCTTGACTCCCTATCAGGGCAAGAAGCGCTGCTTTGGCGAGTACAAGTGCCCCAAGTGCAAGCGCAAGTGGATGAGTGGAAACTCGTGGGCCAACATGGGGCAGGAGTGCATCAAGTGTCACATCAACGTGTACCCTCACAAGCAGGTGGGTCCACCACTCAGTCACCCACTCAGTCACTCACTCACTCACTCACCACTCACTCACTCACCCACTCACCCACCCACTCACTCAGTCACCCACTCACTTAGTCACCCACTCACTCAGTCACCCACTCACCTAGTAACTTAGTCACCCACTCACTCAGTCTCCCACTCACCCACTCACTCACTCAGTCACCCACTCACCCACCCACTCACTCACTCACCCACTCACCCACCCACTCACTCACTCACCCACCCACTCACTCAGTCACCCACTCACTCACCCACCCACTCACTCAGTCACCCACTCACTCAGTCACCCACTCACTTAGTCACCCACTCACTCAGTCACTCACTCACTCACCACTCACTCAACATGGGGCAGGAGTGGCATCAAGTGTCACATCAACGTGTAACCTCACAAGCAGGTGGGTCCACCACTCGGTCACCCACTCGCCCACTCACTTAGTCACCCAGTCACCCACTCACCCACTCACTCACTCAATCACCCACTCACCCACCCACTCACTCACTCACCCACTCACCCACCCACTCACTCAGTCACCCACTCACCCACTCACCCACTCACTCAGTCACTCACTCACTCACCACTCACTCAACATGGGGCAGGAGTGGCATCAAGTGTCACATCAACGTGTAACCTCACAAGCAGGTGGGTCCACCACTCGGTCACCCACTCGCCCACTCACTTAGTCACCCAGTCACCCACTCACCCACTCACTCAGTCACCCACTCACTCACTCAGTCACCTACTCACCTAATCACTTAGTCACCTACTCACTCACCACTCACTCACTCAGTCACTCACTCAGTCACCCACTCACTCACTCACCCAGTCACTCAGTCACCCACTCACCTAATCACTTAGTCACCTACTCACCACTCACTCACTCACCCACTCACTCAACATGGGGCAGGAGTGGCATCAAGTGTCACATCAACGTGTACCATCACAGGTAGGTGGGTCCACCACTCGGTCACCCACTCACCCACTCAGTCACTCACTCACTCACTCACCACTCACTCACTCACCCACTCACCCACCCACTCACTCAGTCACCCACTCACTCGGTAACCCACTCACTCAGTCACCCACTCATCTAATCACTTAGTCACCCACTCACTCAGTCACCCACTCATTTAGTCACCCACTCACTCACTCACCCACTCACTCACCCACTCACTCAGTCACCCACTCACTCAGTCACCCACTCACTCACTTACCCACTCACTCACTCACCCACTCAGTCACTCACTCACTCACCCACTCACTCAGTCACCCACTCATCTAATCACTCACTCACCCACTCACCCACTCACCCACTCACTCACTCACCCACTCGCCTACTGCACCCACTCACTGAGTCACACAGTCACTCACTCAGTCACTCACATCAGAATCAGAATCAGAAAGGGTTTTTATTCGCCATGAAAGTTCACACCGACACGGAATTTACTTTGGCAGGATGGTGCATACATTCAACATATAGGAATCTAAAATCTTAAATAAGTTTTAAACAATACAGTCTTGCAGTCGTCCTCCACTAGGTCGACTCAGCCTTGAATGCGTATCTTGGGGTGCAGTGCAATGCAGTGTGTGTGTGTGTATCTATATATTGAGCATCAGACACTGGTGGATACAAAGGGGGCCGGGACAGGTGTGGTGCGTGAGTTGTGATGAGCAGCAGCAGCAGCAGCAGCAGCTGCTGCTGCTGCTTACTGCAGCTGCTGCTGCTGTAAGATTTTAAACAGTGCCGTAGCCTGCGTTGGGGCTACGCGGGTCACCTTGTGAGTGATGGAGTGGGGTTAGCCGTGACCCAGAGGTTCGCGCTGAGCCGCCTCACGAACCCAGCCAGAATACTCCACCAAGTTCGAAGTTCCATTCCCGCTCATGGCCACCGCCACTGGTCCTAGGCCACCCCCCGCTAAGTCGACTCATCCTCAAATGAGTTACCTGGCACAGTGCCGGTGTGGTAGTAAACGTCGTTCACTAGGGAGAGACAAAGGCGGCCGGGCCACCCACTGCCTTGTGTGCCACAGTGGCCGGTAGGCTGCTGCTACTCGCTAAGCAGAACATTCACTCACGCCGGAGGAATCGCAATGAGCTGCGAAGCTACACTCTCTGGTTCTATTGGGTAAAGTCACGTAGTGGGTACAAAATAAAATAACAAAAGTCACGACGTTTCGGCCACAGCAACAAGCGGCCTTCATCAGGTGAAGGGACGAGACTGTCTGGAGGACAGCGCTGGAGCGAACAAAGCCACAAGCTCAGATCGCGACCTTTAAGCTGTGTGAGAGGAAACAAAGCGCCTTGACAAAGGAATTAGCATAGAATTTAGCATTGAAATAGCTGAGTGATTAGCTTGTGACTGGTCGCACAAATGGCTATGTTAAAGTTAAAGCATACACATCCGCAGAGGCACCTCTTGACAAAAGGAATTAGCATAGAATTTAGCATTGAAATGGCTAAGTTAAAGCATACACATCCGCAGAGGCACCCCTTGACAAAGGAATTGGCATAGAATTTAGCATTGAAATGGCTGAGTGATTAGCTTGTGACTGGTCACAGAAATGGCTATGTTAAAGTTAAAGCATACACATCCGCAGAGGCACCCCTTGACAAAGGAATTAGCATATAATTTAGCATTGAAATAGCTAAGTTAAAGCATACACATCCGCAGAGGCACCTCTTGACAAAGGAATTAGCATAGAATTTAGCATTGAAATAGCTAAGTTAAAGCATACACATCCGCAGAGGCACCCCTTGACAAAGGAATTAGCATAGAATTTAGCATTGAAATAGCTAAGTTAAAGTATACACATCCGCAGAGGCACCCCTTGACAAAGGAATTAGCATAGAATTTAGCATTGAAATAGCTAAGTTAAAGTATACACATCCGCAGAGGCACCCCTTGACAAAGGAATTAGCATAGAATTTAGCATTGAAATAGCTAAGTTAAAGTATACACATCCGCAGAGGCACCTCTTGACAAAGGAATTAGCATAGAATTTAGCATTGAAATAGCTAAGTTAAAGCATACACATCCGCAGAGGCACCCCTTGACAAAGGAATTAGCATAGAATTTAGCATTGAAATAGCTGAGTTAAAGTATACACATCCGCAGAGGCACCTCTTGACAAAGGAATTAGCATAGAATTTAGCATTGAAATAGCTGAGTTAAAGTATACACATCCGCAGAGGCACCTCTTGACAAAGGAATTAGCATAGAATTTAGCATTGAAATAGCTAAGTTAAAGCATACACATCCGCAGAGGCACCTCTTGACAAAGGAATTAGCATAGAATTTAGCATTGAAATAGCTAAGTTAAAGCATACACATCCGCAGAGGCACCCCTTGACAAAGAAATTAGCATAGAATTTAGCATTGAAATAGCTAAGCTAAAGTATACACATCCGCAGAGGCACCTCTTGACAAAGGAATTAGCATAGAATTTAGCATTGAAATAGCTAAGTTAAAGCATACACATCCGCAGAGGCACCCCTTTACAAAGGAATTAGCATAGAATTTAGCATTGAAATAGCTAAGTTAAAGTATACACATCCGCAGAGGCACCTCTTGACAAAGGAATTAGCATAGAATTTAGCATTGAAATAGCTGAGTTAAAGTATACACATCCGCAGAGGCACCTCTTGACAAAGGAATTAGCATAGAATTTAGCATTGAAATAGCTAAGTTAAAGCATACACATCCGCAGAGGCACCTCTTGACAAAGGAATTAGCATAGAATTTAGCATTGAAATAGCTGAGTTAAAGTATACACATCCGCAGAGGCACCTCTTGACAAAGGAATTAGCATAGAATTTAGCATTGAAATAGCTAAGTTAAAGCATACACATCCGCAGAGGCACCCCTTGACAAAGGAATTAGCATAGAATTTAGCATTGAAATAGCTAAGTTAAAGTATACACATCCACAGAGGCCCCTCTTGACAAAGGAATTAGCATAGAATTTAGCATTGAAATAGCTAAGTCAAAGCATACACATCCGCAGAGGCACCCCTTGACAAAGGAATTAGCATAGAATTTAGCATTGAAATAGCTAAGTCAAAGCATACACATCCGCAGAGGCACCCCTTGACAAAGGAATTAGCATAGAATTTAGCATTGAAATAGCTAAGTTAAAGCATACACATCCGCAGAGGCACCTCTTGACAAAGGAATTAGCATAGAATTTAGCAGAAGCTACGAAGCTCTTTTGCACGGCGCCTTTGCGCCCAGTGGCCTGTTAAGACGCCACGTGGCTTGTCACGTGGCGTGTCACGTGGCGTGTCACGTGGCGTGTCAGGTGGCGTGTCACGTGGCGTGTCACGTGGCGTGCCACGTTTTATAATTCTGCTCACTTTTCATTTTGCTTTCTTATGCGCCACGACCCTAACAAGTTCGGCTTAAATATCCGTACATGATTACTTCAAAGTTTCCTACCAGCCCCCTCCGCAGGAATGTGTTATTTGTATTTAGTATCTGACCACTGAGCAACGTAGTTCTTTATCAAAAGCAGCCTGGCTATCGTAAATAACAGAGGCTCAACCAAGTGACTGATATCACCACCATCATCATCATCACTGTGTGTACATTTATAGCAGAAGCCAAATACTCTAAAGCGTGTGTTTCTATAGACTCATAGAGACCCATACTCATAGAGACCCATACTCATAGAGACCCACAGACCCACAGAGACCCATAGACTCATAGAGACCCATACTCATAGAGACCCACAGACCCACAGAGACCCATAGACTCATAGAGACCCATACTCATAGAGACCCATACTCATAGAGACCCATAGAGACCCACAGACTCACAGAGACCCATACTCATAGAGACCCATACTCATAGAGACCCATACTCACAGAGACCCACAGACTCACAGAGACCCATACTTATAGAGACCCACAGACTCACAGATACCCAAAGACCCACAGAGACCCATAGACCCAGAGATCCATACTCATAGAGACCCA